CAAGTGTGATAGAATGCTGTGTTACACAACCTACTGTCTGTCAAGTGTGATAGAATGCTGTGTTACCGATCTTTGTACTTAACAACAACGTACAGTCTCGGTCGTCTTAGGGTTTCCTTATAATCGATGCTGGTTATCGATAAATGCTTACACAATACGGACAGTTTATATTTAGCATAGTTTGGATAACTAACTGAAAAAAAAAAGAAACATCTATTTATAATAACCCAGACGACAACACCAGATGACCCATGTACTGGTTACGTTCCCTCGTGCTTCTCGTAGCCTGCAGGTTACCATAGCAACTGTATAGCCACGTGATTTCACGTGTTCTGAAGTCCAGTGTTAGGTGCTGCTCTGTTCAGTAATGTTATGGGTTGGGTAGTATGTGTTTGTTTTAGCGCAAAGCTACATGATTAGCTATCTACACTCTACTCATCTTGGGGAATCGAACCTTGGACTTTAGCGTTGTAAATGTATATTCGTACACGTGCTTACTGTAAGATGAAGTCACCAGCATGGGCGATATGGACAGACAAAAAAAATAGTTTCATAAAATTCAGTATGTATATTAAAAGTATATAAAAATAGGGATGAACAATTAAACGAAACCTAAGTTACGTAGTGCTAACGAATCATTAGAGGAAACCAAAATTACGTAGTGTTAACGAAACATTAGACAAAACCTAAATTACGTAATGTTAACGAATCATTAGACGAAACCTAAATTACCTAGTGTTAACGAATCATTAGACGAAACCAAAATTACCTAGTGTTAATGAATCATTAGACGAAACCCAAATTGCCTAGTGTTAAACACAAAAATACACAATGTGCTATCCGTGCTGTATCCATGGCTGGTATCGAAACACGGTATTTAGCGTTATAATCTCTCAGAGCCACCAGAGGGAAGGTTGTGTGTGAAACCGATACAACGTTTAAAGGAGGAATTATGATTGTTTATTAATACTTTGGTTATTCATTGTGTACTCGTGTAAACATTATCAGTCTGTGTTAAATGATCCGAAGTATAAACAAGGAAAAAAGCCACTTCTATAAAGACAAAAATTAAAATACAATTTTTCAAGAACTCCAGCTAGTAAATTCATGATTAATGAAAGGTTAGCTTAGGACATGAAAAGTTGTTTCCCTTATATGTATATATAAAAAAAAACGCTCATAAAAACTGCAAAACACAAAGTGTGTAACCGCAAGTTTGCATGTATCTCAGCATGGACCCAACAAACCTTCATACCAAACTTGGTGAAGATCCATCAGCAGGGGGCGAAGTAGTGATAAAAAAAACACGCAAATACGATCATAAAAAATACATAATGCAAAAATGAAAATTTGTGTGTATCTCCCCATGGACTCAACAAACCTTCTTGCCAAATTTGGTGAAGATCCATCCACACCCTGCGAAGTAGTTACATGAAGAGACAACAGACAGTTTTATTATGTTTATATATATATATTGACAGTAAAAGCGAAAGACCATTTAAGCGGTTATACTAAGGAATTATACTACCAAAAATAGCGTTTTGTGTAGATTTTTCTTTAACAACATATTGTCGTTGTTTTTTTTAAATGTGAGTTGCCTCTCATGTCATGACCTCCCTCCCTCTCTCTCTTAGTGGGTCAGCGGTAAATTTACGTAATTACAACGCTGAAGTCCGAGGTTGGATTGTCAGTGGTAGTCAGAGCACAGATAGCTGTGTTTCTTTGCGCTGAAAAAAATATAACAAACTGCGAATATTATAAAAGAAAGGAACAAACGTGTTCGTCACCTGTTTAATCTGTATTTTTCGATTTATCCGTGCACAGCTTTATTTATATCTGCATAGATATCATATATATACTTTTGAGCTTACTGGTAATAAATCATATAGTCTTCTATAATTGTATTTAGGCTTAGCTAAAGCAACGTCTGTATACTTTACTGGTTCTTCTTTCTTCCCTGACAGAAACACATAATCTTTATATGATTACCACCTGGAAACCTTACAATTAGGACACACCCTTGACTTTCTTCGATCTCATAAAAACATTGATTGTGATGAGGAGGGGGGAGAACACGTCACGAACAATGCGAAGGAATGTAATGACTATATTTGTTTTCCTATTAACCAACGTAATACAACTGACGTTTGGATCAGATCATCGACGATTTGATGGAATGCTCGTGCCTGTTACCGCTCGCTTGCGAGATGACCACGATCACTGTTATAATTATTATAGGGTAGTTTTCTAAATGGAAGTTATCGTTCTCCATATGACTCAACTACTCCTGTAAACAGCTACATATTGTTGTATAGTATTTGATATCGTTTCTACTGCTATTAGAAGCAGCTCCATATTGTTGTATAGTATTTGTTATCGTTTCTACTACTACTACTAGAAGCAGTTCCATATTGTTGTATAGTATCTGATATAGTTTCTACTACTACTACTAGAAGCAGCTCCATATTGTTGTATAGTATTTGATATCGTTTCTACTACTACTACTACTAGAAGCAGTTCCATATTGTTGTATAGTATTTGATATAGTTTCTACTACTAGAAGCAGCTCCATATTGTTGTATATTATCCGATATAATTTCTACTACTACTAGAAGCAGTTCCATATTGTTGTATAGTATTGTATATAGTTTCTACTACTACTAGAAGCAGTTCCATATTGTTGTTTAGTATTTGTTATCGTTTCTACTACTACTAGAAGCAGTTCCATGTTGTTGTATAGTATTGTATATAGTTTCTACTACTACTAGAAGCAGTTCCATATTGTTGTATAGTATTTGATATCGTTTCTACTGCTACTACTAG